TTCTTCAAGTTGTAGACAACATCGGTAAGCCGTGTGAGTGGTTTGTCACGTACCCTCTCGGATATAACATCACACACTAAATCAGACCCAGCTCTCGGATGATTGGGTGTCCTCACAGTAACACCACAAATGTGCTCACTATTCATTTACGAAGGTTAAAAAAACCATTGCCATGTAAGACACGTGCATGTATAGACCATATGCATCCTTTGAATTCTTTCATCACGCATACCGCTGCAATCCAAACAGAATCATTCTTCACATATTTGAACCGAAATCCATGCTCAACCGCATACTTGCAAAGAACCATTCGGAACTCAGCAGCTCATCCCTCAAAACGTTGCCCAACATGTTGAATCCTATTAGCCCACGAAGCAGACAAAAAAACCTTCTATACATAAGGACAAATTTTGGCTAGCAAATCTTGTCCATCATCCACGTCGGTCTCATCAACATCCCCATACATCTAACATGGGACAATCCGTGCATTGTGAGGCGGACTGTCAATGTTATCGACATTTTCGATGTCTCGCAACTAAATGATGACATCAACACATTGTAGGTGAAAAGACTGCGCAAGTGAGACCATATTCTCCATATCAACATCATTCTGCAATGTGAAGTTATTATAACCTGGCATTTTGAAAAACAAACTCACATTCTCGGCTGTCAACCCACAAAAATTCCTACACGCACGATTCACCAGATCATGGCAACGAAACGGGGCTTGCAAATTGATTGCGGCATTCGTATTACCGTAACAACAAACCAACATGACATGCGTGTCCATCCTCTATATATATTTGACATAACATCAAAAAAACAACCCACACCAGACGCTGACACACACATCCTCTGACTCCCCTAACACCGAAATCAACTTGTCCCACAAATCCCTTACCAATCAAATACACTCACCCCCACTCATACCTGCATAACAGGGACTAAGTGAATGACTGAAAATGGTACCGTTACTACGACGTCACACAAACCACGTAGCGCTATCCCTCCCCCAAAACCCAAAACCCACATTTAACCCACAATGACATGGACACAAACAATCCCATAACAAAGGCTGATATTACCAATAAAGCAAAACAACTCTGTGTTATTAAAAAAAGAAAGAATACATACCTGCATAACAACGGCGAAATGAACGATCGAAAATGCTACCCTTAATGCGGTGTCACATGGACCACACAGCACCGCCCCACCCCAAAAACCCAAAACCCTAACAGTCAATGGTGGAAATGTGTATGACTGTAACATGTAACTTACCAAAAATAAAGGTGATCTCTTTAAAATAGACCCAATCAAATAATAAAGGGTATAAATGACCATGACTAACTGCGAAACTTGGAAAATAGGATCACATAGATCTAAACCTCTCCATTAGTAGGACTCATCCGATCACCATTTCAAAAATGGGACTGATTGGTATAGTTGTTCATGAGATGTGATTTAATGGTAAATATTCATTTTTTTTAAGGTCCCTGACATTAAGATTTTATAGCATAAAGGACATCTAATATTTTCATAATATCTAAGATCCCTCAACATCAATCTAGGGAAAATTCGATCCTAGAGAAATTCTGGATCCATCCCAGAGAAATTATCTTCTTAGAGAAATTATGATTTTCTCAAAAGCCAAACAGTCCATTGAAAGAAAATTAAAGATATAACTGGGTAATAACAAGAGGGTAAGTGAGAGTTAGTTGGATAATCACAATACCTTGAGAGCTCTTCTTTTGTGGAAATCCTGTAAAATTGATCCTTTAAAAGTTAAGAGCAAAACCCTTGCTGCAGTGAAAGAAAATTCCAGAACTCAAACCCAGAGAAATTTACATAAATCCAGAGAAATTCTTCAAAACCAAAGAAAATCTCCCATCCACCCCAGAGAAATTCACCCAAGCCCAGAGAAAATCCCCTTTAAACCCAAAGAAATTCACTTAAATCCAAAGAAAATCCCTTTTCAACCCAGAGAAAATCACTCAAACTGAAGAAAATCCCCTTCTCCAATCCACAAAAATTCCTCCTCACAATCTTTTCTGGTTGAAAATCATAAACCTCAAGCAAACTCTGTTCCATGGTTCATACATTGGCTCTAGAGAGAGAAATTTCGATTTTGTTGAAAAAATCGCTAATGCAGAGAAAATTCAAAGTCAGAACCATAAATGCAATAAGAATAATCAATTTGGAGTTGAAAAGTATAAATCAAACCAGACATCTACCAATGAAATTTGAACAACCAGAGGAATTTGAACAAACCAGACACCTACCAAAGAAATTTGAACAACCAGAAAAATTTTAACAAACCAGATACCTACTTTACTTGATTCTAACTGCAACTGGGTCTAGAACATTAATGTTACCCAGAGAATTCACCACTAAAACATTGACTCCGTCTACACTCTTATCATTGAAGATTATTATCACAAAACGAAGACAAAGATTAGCTGATCAACTTGCAGGGGCTGTTTGCCAGCCTTCTACTTGTAGTGTTGAGCTTCGTTCAACTGTTCAAGCCCTTAAACAACTCGGGGATGGTCCACGGGCTTATAACTTGTTACTCAAATCTCATCACCAGAAATTGCAGTACAATATGCAATGTCTTTGCCCATCTGGCACTAAAATCTCATTACCATAAATTTCTTCCTCGCTGTGTTGAAGTGCACGAGAAGGAATTGAAGGCCGAAGTTGAAGCAAAAATAGAGTGGTGGTAGTAGTAGGGTTGAATTCGTCAATTACTTGCCAAAAAAGTTGCTTCTTCTCCGGCGAAACCAACCGGAGTTGAACAATATAGGGCACTACAATCAGATTGCGTCACCAGAGTTGATGAATTTGCAAATTCAGAAAGAGAATTACGTGATGTTGATGAACTATGCAATTTCGACTCTGACTTTGGATTTGGATTTGAATTTGGGTTTGGATTCCGATTCGTTTTCGGAATAGAGATTTGGGGATTCGATCAAGTGAGATTTTGAGGGAAGAGAGAGAGAGAAATGAGACTTGATTTGAGAGAGTCAAATTTTTTTGTGATATATAGGTGTAAGGTTGAGAGACCTTATATATTATAAAATAATATTGTGGATCTTTTCCATTACTAAAAATGGAAAAGGGACCTTAAGCTAATTTTTTTTAATTTTAATATTGATACTAAATATTGCAAATCAGGTGGGTCTTTTACAAATAATTACATACTAAAGGAAAAATTTATAACTTTAATAATTAAAAATTGTAAATTCTATCATTAATTGTAAAAAAAAATTTCCCACCATCCATTGATGGATTATTTCTCCTTTAAAAAAAAAAAATTGTTTTCTTGAAATAAAAATAAATAATTTCATCATAAAAAATGTTTTATAGTACATGACCCACAGCCAAGCACTTTTTTGTCAATTTATTTATTTATTTTATTTATTAAAGTCCCGGGCAATTAATTTCATATTAGATGTGGTTTTTAGTTTGATAAAGCATTAAGAAAGTAAACTTACAAGATGATGATGCGCAAAATTTTATATCTACATTTTTTTAACGAAAAATTTATATCTACATTACAACATTAAAAAATATTCAGTAGTGTTACATGTATGAATTAGTATACTAATTAGTGTTATGACGCTAGTTACTAACTAACTAGCGTTACGATATTATTATTAATCTCACACATTATATAAATTATAAATACTCAAAACTTTTAAAATTATGTCATATCATCTGTTAGTATATTGATTAATACACAATTATCAAAAATACCTGCTAAAAGCATTTATTTATTTATTTGTTGTTAATGAGTATTTAACTGATCCTGGTAATAAATTTAATATAATTATATACCTCCGTTTGGGAAGTGGGTTGACTTTTTAGCTTTTTGACTTTTTTGGCTATTTTAGCCTGGGCTTAAAAGCTTGGTTTGGGAAGGATTTTTTGACTTTTTTGAGTTTTTTGTGAGAGAAAAATGTAATGATTATGAGTTGGATGTGATTCTTTGTTTGTTATGACTAAAATAGTCTATTTTATTTTTTGTGGCTAAAATAGCCAAAAAAGCCTGCAAACCCACTTGCCAAACACAAGCTATATGTGCCATAAAAGATGTATGCTCATTCTAAAATTTATTACCCATAAGATACTAGTTAATAAGGGTTTAATTGACCAAAAATTTTAACCTTCAGTCGCCCATAAATATATATATATAATCATTTACAATTCATAAATTTAGGAAAGTGGAATTCCCAAAAAAAGTTGAATGAAAACTTCGAAAGTATCTACAGAATTGGATCAATTACACCAAGACCCCTCAATTATTAATAAATATAATTTTATTTCATTATCTATTAACTTGTATATTTTGACGTTTTTAACTAAAAAAATATATTATTTTTATCATTTTTAAACAATTTCTAAAAAATATGTATTTATATGATTTTCGTAATTCAATATATACAAATTCAAAGATGAATGAATTAAAATAATATTCATTAATAATTAAATAGTTTTAACGCAATTAAAGTCCTGTTTGGAAATTAAGTATTTAAATTAACTTTTTACGAAAAATCTAATTCTCCTACATTTCTTAATTTTGTTCCCTCAATGATATGAGTAACAGCCACGTGAAGCGGGCTCATTCTCTCTTCTCTCATCATTAGCCCCTTAATTCTATATTATTAGGGGTGGAATTGGCGGACAAAATTAAAAAGATGAGTAATTTTTTATGAAAATATATACAAAAAGTAAATGGAGTGATATGACAATTTATAATAATTTTTTTTAAAAAGTACTATTAATATATATTTTTGAAAAATTATTACATATTAATAAAAAATTAGATATTAATTATTAATATTTATAACATTTTTAAATATTTTTATAAATATTTTTTTATTAACGCTACGGCCCTTCTTTCTTTTTTTTTTTTTTTTTTTTTTTTGCGTTTTCAGTTTTTGATTAAAAATTTTAAATAGGCGAACGAAGCCTAATCTCAAAAAATTTCGGCTTCTTGCCGTCCCTACTGTTTGGCTACGGATGTTCCTTAACACTAATGCGTGTTTCTATTTTTCAGATTTGATTTTCAATTACGCTTACCTTCCCGCCCACAACCATCTCTCTACTATCTTCCTCCATTTTTCAGTCAGCAAAGCTTTCTCTCACTAGAAACGCAGATCCAAAGCCATCTCAATCACTAGTTCCAAAAGTAATTGACCTCACATTTATCTCCGATCCGCGACTCTCTCTCTCTCTCTCTCTCTCTTCAGTCTCTATTTCACACTCGAAACCCTAGAATTTCGCAGACGGCTATCATGAACCACTACCACATCTATGAAGCTATCGGCCGTGGCAAATTCTCGGTAACTCTCTTTTTAGATTTGATTCGAGTTTGCTTCTGAATCGCATCTTCAAATATTCACTACTTGTACTCAAATTTGCTTGGTTATACGTATATGTTCAACTTAACTCGGTAATGTACATGTATATACACATAATTGGCTGACTATATCCTATTCTTCGGATGTATAGACTGTATACAAGGGGAGGAAGAAGAAGACTATAGAGTATTTTGCAATTAAGAGTGTCGATAAATCACAGAAGAGCAAGGTTCTTCAAGAAGTAAGCCTGAATCCTTTTATTTATTTATTTATTTATTTTTTATAATAATTAGGTGACTTAATTATGTTTCTCAAATTGGTTTGTGGGTTAATAGTTAGTTGATTTATATTGAAATTGACGTGTTTATGGAAAATTTGAAGCTGTTTGGTCCTTTTTATTATGGATACAAAGTTTTTGAACTATATATATATATATTGCCAATCTGCATTGGACAACCAATATGTAATTATTCTCTTTACGTGTACAAGTAGGGGTGCATGCATCAAACTAGTATAAGCTCTAAAATATTTTTAATTTGGAGCAGTGTAAAAGTAGTTTTTAATTTTAGGCATGATATCCAGTTAATAGGTTTAAAAGAAGGTTGAATTTCTTTGAACTTTGGCACTTCCACATTATGTGTGTGGTTCTATTGCTTAAAATGGTTTGGCTCTCCTGCATAAAATGAAATTTATATGTTTGATTAGAGTAGCGAAGAAGTTTACATAATGAATTTTAACCAAGACCTTTTTAAAAAAATGAGAATAATATAAAGGTACTATGATATTTGTTTGATTCATTTGATCAATGTTGTCAACTGGACATATTTTGTGAACCTTAATAATGTGATGTTTAAAACAAGGCCCAAGGAGGGGGTAAGTGGAATTGAAAGTACACATTTGACATTTATGCATTTAAAGTTGGTTGAAGTAATTTTTTGGTGGATTGGATAGCTTGTTACTAAAGTAGAGTTGTGTGCATTTAGCATCATAATCATTGAAAATTAGGAATTTTTGCTTGTCAAGTAAGCCTCGCAAGACAACAGAGTATGCCCATTCACACTCTTGCCAAATTTGTTCAAGATTTTTGGTATGGAATAACAAACTCTTACTTAACTGTTGTTTTAATTCTTATGACCTATTAGTATGGCATTACAATGGCCAGTTTTAATTCTTATCTTTGTATGACGAACTTATGCAGTAATAGGAGTGCTTGTAGCTTTTCTCATCCATGCTTTGGTGATATTTTATTTCTTGGTTTTTTCTGCAGGTTAAAATTCTTCACTCTTTAGATCACCCAAATGTTCTAAAATTCTATTCCTGGTATGGCCTCCTACTCTTCTGAAACATTTAATTCTTCATCAATTGCGTAGGTCGTCTAGAAGTTGGCATTTTATTTGAGGATTAATCTAAGATTGTATGTACTGTGACTATTTGGGTTTTTATTGATTATTAGGTATGAAACTTCTGCTCATTTGTGGTTGGTTTTGGAATATTGTGTTGGAGGAGACCTCATGTCATTACTACAGCAGGTATCAATTACTTTGTTTTTTTGTGAAATTATTTTAATCCATGAATGTGGTTTTAATTGGTGTAGATTTTACATATACAAATACAAACTCAGATTAAAAACTAGTTAAGCCACTAGATAACAGGAATATGAGTGTCTGTTGTTGGTCATTGACAGAGATACGATCTATTTGATACCAGAATCTCCAAAAGTTCATTACCTGTTGGTGGTCCAGCAACTTGAGAGGATAAACTCAGCATTTGGAATTTTGTGCACATAGTGGCTGCCCTCATACTTGAACCCATATATCATGCTTAAAAACCCCAAAAAAGTCACGTGTTGTGGAGAAGAACATTGGTGTGTTACACGGTGAAGAGGAAAAATTGGAGTGGCCTGTAGTGGATCATGTTGTACAATGATGCTAATGGATTAGCTTAATTTTAGTTTTCATGCTATATCAATTCCACTTCTAATCTATTCAGTTAGGATGTTTTGTTAATTAAGTTTCACATATGTCTGTAGTTTGGACTCAGAGTTTTTTTTTCTTCCTTCTAACAACACTAATTAGAGCTTAAAAGGTGGTAAAATGGGTGACATGAGGTGATTTCTGTGGAAAACTTATTTATCAAAAAAAAAAAAAAAAAATTATGGGGAAAACTCGAAATAGTTTTTGTTGATACCTTACAAGTTGTGTTTGAATTTGGAGAATAAGAGTGGCTTACAGCTTTTTTCATGTCTCTTTTGTCTGTTGCTCCCGTGTGTTAAGGTGGCACTACATATAACAAATCTTATTATCCTATGGGAAAAATTATTTCATTTTTTCATGCAAGTGCAGCATGTGTTGCTCTTTGTGTTATAACATCATTTTAGAATTTTATGATACTTATGTCATAAAATAGGACATAATTGAGATGATGGTGTCTGCTTCAACTTTTCATCACCCTTGATTTGATGAACTAAAATATCTGATGGACACTGACAACTGTAAAAATAACTTAATGACTGAGTTGCAGGATAAGAAGCTTCCAGAAGAGTCAATACATGATTTTGCTCACGATCTTGTCAAAGCTTTGCAGTAAGAAAAAACTTTAACCTACAACTTTCCTTTGTGGAATTGGTTTAGTTTAAGTCATATCCTTTGAACTATGGTCCGCAATGGCATTATTGCAGGTTTTTGCACTCGAAGGGAATCATTTACTGTGACTTGAAACCTTCAAACATCTTATTAGATGAAAATGGACGTACAAAGGTATTTTTGTACTCCAAGTTTTCTATGTTGTCAATAACTCTGCTATATGTGTTCATAACCTCCTCCACATCTGTGCATTGCAGCTATGTGATTTTGGATTGTCAAGAAAATTGAGTGATATATCTAAAACTCCTTCTTCCTTAGTAGGTTTCTCTTACATTACAACTTTTGATGCATGCTACTGATTTAATTTGTATGACTCATTAAGATTTGGACTATGGAGTATATATATATTATTTTTTTAATAAAAAAATTTGTACTGGAATTTTATTTACTAATTCATTTATTCTATTCCTCCATTTATTCAGCTGCCACAAGCAAAACGTGGAACTCCCTTTTACATGGCTCCTGAGTTGTTTCAGGATGGAGGCGTCCATTCTTATGCATCTGATTTGTGGGCCCTTGGTTGTGTGCTATATGAGTGCTATGCTGGGAACCCACCCTTCATAGGAAAAGAGTTCACTCGGCTGGTAAAATCAATCCTTTCAGACCCAACTCCATCCCTTCCAGGGACTCCCAGCCGTCCCTTTGTCAATCTAATCAATTCTCTCCTGATAAAAGATCCAGCTGAAAGAATACAGTGGACTGAGTTCTGTGAACATGCTTTTTGGAGAACAAAATTTACTCCATTGCCTTTACCTCCTCAGCCTGCTTTCAGTGATATGATAGAGCTTTTGTCTAAACCATATCTCTCAGAACGCAATAGTGACAACCCTCCCCAAAACAAAACCCCACCTAAATATCGTGAAAAAGATTCAAAAGGAGGTCCCAAACAGGATGAGAATTGCATTGTGGGATCAAGAGGTTATGTCACACCGGTTAAGGGTGTATCTAGTGGCCGGAAGATTCAAATGAAGGCTTCAGGCAAAGTAGTTGAGGAGAAGCAGAAAGATCCTTCAAGCAATACTAGGGATGTGAATCTTCTAAGGCTCTCAAGGATAGCAAAGTCAAACTTACAGAGAGAAAATGAGAAGGAGAACTACAGGAGGCCATTGCCAAATGGCTCTGAAAATGATGCCGAAGTGAAAATTGAAAACACTGATATGGAACTTGATTTTAATGAGAACACGGAGGATGAGACAAATGATGATCCTGATGGATCTGATAATCCGACTTGTCCTGAAGAAAAAATGTCAACTCAAAATCAGCATGAGGGAAAATTAGAACAGATGGACAATAACAATAACACTAACCAATTGGATGCATCACCTATGATTAATACTCCTGTCTCAGATGACACAAGAGCACCTGACCTGGATTTATCTTCAGAACACAATGAAATGGGTCCTACTCCACCCACTGTTAGCCCTCAACTCAAAAGGGTTAAAGAAGGTTCAGAGTATGCCGTCGACTCTGATACTTCAAAATCATCTAATGACCTCACGCAGGTGCTTTGGCATCCATCAGACCTCTCAGTCAGACCTGTGATGCCCAGTAGGAAGGCTGATAAAATGTCAATTCCTTCTCTTCCCATTGATGCATTGCCAGCAACGGATTATTTGAAGATGCCTAAGGATCAGGTGGACACATTCAATAATAGGATTATAACAATCTTAAATGGGAATACTGCCATTGGTGAGAAGCAGAATCTAATCAGATACCTTGAGATGTTAAGCAGTAATGCTGACGCTGCCAATATCTTGACCAATGGGTCAATAATGCTGGTGGTTGTCAAAATGCTGCGACAGTCTAAGGCTTCAGCTTTACGTGTTCAACTTGCTTCACTGATTGGCTTACTGATACGGCATTCTACTTTTATTGATGATGAACTGGCAAATTCAGGAATTTTAGGTTCTCTAACTGATGGTCTCAGAGACAAGCAAGAAAAAGTGAGGAGGTTCTCTATGGCTGCTTTGGGTGAGTTGCTGTTTTATATATCCACTCAAAATGAGCATAATAAGGACAACAATCCTCCTGAATCACCGTCTAAGGACAGCCGGTTTTCATCAGGCTGGCAGGTTAGCTTCCTACCTTATTGCCACTCCATATTTCATGAGAAATATAACGATAGAGAAAAGTTGATTTGTTTTTGCATACGCTCTTTATCTAGATTAATTTTTCCTTGTAAATATATTTTGATTCATTTGGGCAGGTTTCAAATCCACTGATTTCATTGGTGTCATCAATTTTACGGAAAGGAGAGGATGATGTCACTCAACTCTATGCGCTGAGGACAATTGAGAACATCTGCAGTCAAGGAGGTTACTGGGCTGCTCGTTTCACCAGCCAGGATGTGATTACTAACCTTTGCTATATATTTAGGGCTGCAGGGAAACAGGAGAGCATGAGGCTCACCGCTGGGTCTTGTTTGGTACGACTGGTTCGTTTTAATCTTCCTAGCATTCAACAGGTTATGGATAAACTTCCATTCAGGGACACTGTATCAGCCTTTGTCAAGGGCAGTCCACGTGAGCAGCAAATCTGTCTAAACCTTCTGAATATGGCTATGATTGGGAGCCATATGTTTACAAACATTGGACGACATCTTCCCTTGGTGGAAGAGAAGAATCTTGTCCCATGTCTTGTAGCACTTATTGAGCAGGGAAGTGAAGTCTTGAGGGGAAAGGCACTTGTTTTTGTGGCTCTACTTTGTAAGCACGGGAAGAGATGGCTTCCACATTTCTTTTGCAATGCGAAATTACTATCAGCAGTGGACAGGTTGGCGAAGGAGAAGGACAGCTACATTCAACAGTGTTTAGATGCATTTGTCCATGTTGTGGCATCCACCATACCAGGTTTGCTGGAAGCTATAACTGGAGACATTCAGCAGATGATGGGAGGGAGACGCCCGGGGCATATTGCTGCTCTTAACAGTCGAGCCACTCCAAAGACCAACTTTCATTTGTTTCCTGTTATTTATCAGATTCTTGTAAGCTCCTCTTTTAAGCGCAGGGTGGTAACTAATCAGGTCCTGCAGCAGTTGGCAAATCTAATCAAACTTGCCGAGTCACCTTTTCAGGTATGAAACTGCAACGCAGATTTTATGTTGCATGCAACCTATAAATTTTGATATGGTAATCTCATATTTCTTCTATCTAAGAGATCCTCAAGAAATTATAATTAGTAATAATGGTAGATTTTGCCAAAGGACTCTATAGTCTGGTAGCTAGGTGACAATGGGGAATGGGGGATGTCCGCCATATACAATTGTTTCCTATAATTGGCCAACCAGGGTTTGGTTTGCATGCTTAATTTGTTAAAGGGCATAAATATATGCATTTATATGTCAATGTGATAGTTTTTAAGCAATACATTAATCTTGAGAAACCTTTTCCATTCTGATCAAATTCTAGATCTTTCTAGATCAACTTCTTTTTAATCAGAGGAGATTAGTCTATGATAGTATATTTTTAGATTGATTTGGGAAACATTTTATGCGCATCATTTTTCATTGCATTTCAGGGCAGGGATGACTTTCAAATAACCCTGTTACGAGTTCTCGAGTCCATTACGGAGGAGCCCTCAGTTATTCTTGAGAGCCCCAACATTTTTATTCGTGAAATTTTGCCCAGTCTGGCTGTTGTTTACAAGGGAAACAAAGATGGGGACGCCAGGTTCTTGTGCCTGAAAATTATGTTTGATGTGATGGTTATTTTTCTAAACGAACCAACAGAAGACGAGGAACAATCACTGGCTTTGAAGTCCATATCCAATACTCATTTCCTCCCTCTGTACCCCGCCTTGATTGAGGATGAAGATCCCATTCCCATGTATGCTCAGAAGCTTCTTGTGATGCTCATCGAATTTAATTACATAAAAATTCCAGACATTCTACATTTGAAGATAATTTCACAGTGCTTCGAATTTCTTCTTGGTGATCTCTCAACTGCAAATGTAAACAACGTCATGCTCTGTCTGGCACTGGCATCTGCTCCCGAGTTGGAAAGCAAGATCCTCTCTCAATTAAAAGTAGTCAGGAGGATTGGAAACCTTTTGGAGTTTGTGCATGCGAAGGAAATGGAAGATTTTATCGAACCAACACTTGGTTTGTGTAGGGCTTTCCTTCTACGTTCCATAAACAATAGGAAAGGTTTCATCTATGCAAGAGAACCATCTCTCTTAGGTGATGGGTTTTCTGAGGGGGGTGGTGTAGTTGATCAGCAGCAATGCATAAGAGATATAATGGACTTTGGTAGCAACGTTGGTGTCTTTTTGGAGATGAGTAAGTCCCGGGAGGCAAGTATTGCAGATATAGCTTCTGAATGCATAATTTTGTTGCTCAGGACAGCTCCAAGGGAAGCTACCACGGGTTTTCTGACTAATCTTCCCAAAGTCAGTGTGATTCTTGAATCTGGGCGTCGGGGCATCCCTCACTTAGTGGTGCAGCGGATGTTGCATGCTCTTGGTTTTTCCTGTCGACAGTATCTGTCACAGGCAATGATATTGTCGATACCCAAACCAGAAATTTCAAGAACCGAAGTGATTGTTTCTGAGCTCAAAAGCTCAAGCATACCGGGTGTTTCTGATGCTGCTTTCAGAGTGGCATTGGAGTTACAGAGGCTGCCTCGTTGCATTTGATGTTGAAGAGGTTGTTTGTCGGTTTATTCTTCCCCTTTTTGTATTTGATTTTTATTTTTTTAATTAGAAGTAGATAACCTTTTTGCAGGGATTTGGGGAAGTTGATTGGCTTTTCTAAAGGTAGACGCCTCATTTTTTTCAAATTCAGATGAGGGGTCAACAAGCATTATATTGAGGTGAGCTAATTTTTTCCTTTATTTCCTCTTGAATACTACCACACTATCAGCTTTGGTTGGCCTGTCTTTGTATAATTTATGTATACTTGTGCCATCGTTAATTGTTCAATTGAGTAATATTTTTGAAAATTACTTGGCACATTGTGTTCATTATATCAACTCTGATGCCTGGGCATGTTTCTTACTCATTTCTTTTATCATATATAAAATATTATATATAAAAATAATATGACAATTACTGTAAGGTTACTCTATTGCAATTTGAGCGCCATGGATTAAATCATGGAAATAGCTTCTCTGCTACTCTGCATGTGAGTAAGATTGCGTACAACTGCTCCTTAGACCCAGTGATGAGTAAAAGTTTAATGGATTTGAGTTTCAACCCAGAGGTCTAGGCTATGAAAAGCCACAAGGAACTCAGATTACCAAAAATGGTACTCTGGGATTCACGAGACATGAATCCAATTAGAAGCACCCATGTCTGTCCTACTAATACCATTCATCTAAAAAGTTAACAAAACCATCCTAAGTATACAAATAGACATATATAGAGAGAAGTAAAATGTGAATGTGGAACAAATATAAAAGAAAAGACTCAAATTTAAAATTTCTTCCAACCTAACTCTGATACCATGTTAATTTGAGAGAAGGGAAATTTGTATTATATTAACCTTGACATTATGATTACATAGTTGATTCATGCTAATCAAAAATAAAGAAAAGTCCTAGGACAACAATCTAATAGAAGTACAAAAATATCCTTAGGCCTCGTTTGACAAGTGGTTATTTTAGTCAAAAAGTCACTAGAAAAATCAAAAAGCCAACAACTCATACCAAAAAGTCAAAAATTCTCTTTTCTCTCTACTTTTTGCATATCTTTTCATAAAAATCTAAAAAGTCATCCCAAACATACTAGTTTTTTTTATATCACATTTTAGTCGAAAAGCTAAAAAGTTACTAAAAAAGTCTGTTCCCAAACGAGGCCTTAAACTAAATATGAAACAACGAACTAACCAAAAGAGGAAAAGAAGAAAGCACAAAATATTTTTAAAAAATGCACCTTCACAGGTTAAGTGATGTAACCATGGACAGGTTTAGAGTATCATGTGACATTATTTATGTGGTGTTTATAATTAATCATGTAGCTAAAATTTTATAGTGAAAACATGTTAACTTATGTTTCTTAAGTAGATAAGAGACAAAGGAGTGTGTATTGTAGTTTTTGATTGGCTGAGAATAGTTCCTAGACATAACCATGAGGCATCTCTCGCTCCAGTTTATATGCTAGTGAAATTTAAATGGAATTGCATTAGTTTATAGTGTCTAGACTGCTCTTCCAAAAGATTATTGCCAGGTAGATGGATCCACGAGTAGAAGAAAATGTACTACGCTGCAACCCTCACACACGTTTCTCCCTGAACTTTGTGGGTTGACCTTTTTTATATATTATTTTATTGTTTTTGTTTTTGAAAGCACTAAAACAAAAATAAAATTTTTGAAAATGACATCACATAAAAAAATGCATATTACGTGCAGAGACGATTTTAACTAAAAAAAAGACAAAAAAAAAAATGCTATTTACAACTTGTCATATCATATATTAAAATATTGTGTCATAACACCTAATCCCAAAGAGTTTGGCTTAATGGGAGGAGAATGTAACCAAATGACTTATCACCCAAGAGATCGCTCGTTCGAATATTACGAAGGCCAAGCATTCCAAATCACTGGGCTATTGAAGATTTGTCTAGTCATTAAACTTAGGGCTCCGAGATTAGTTAAAATACGCATAAATTGACTTGAATACCCAGTTATCAAAAAAAAAAAAAACACTCAAATCCCTTCTCTCCCATTTTTCATGGTCCTCTGTGCACCTTTTCACCTCATTCCTACAACTGGCCACCCCCTCACATCACCTCAGTTTCACAATTGGTCACCTCGCTTCTAACCTACTACTTAATCTCCTCCACTTAAACTTAGGGCTCCGAGATTAGTTAAAATACGCATAAATTGACTTGAATACCCAGTTATCAAAAAAAAAAAAAACACTCAAATCCCTTCTCTCCCATTTTTCATGGTCCTCTGTGCACCTTTTCACCTCATTCCTACAACTGGCCACCCCCTCACATCACCTCAGTTTCCCTTCTAACCTACTACTTAATCTCCTCCACTAGCCTTGACACTTCGATTCACAATTACTTTGCTTCTCAAATGATGTATACGTATTGTAATACTACTTAATCTCCTCCACTAGCCTTGACACTTCGATTCACAATTACTTTGCTTCTCAAATGATGTATACGTATTGTAATTTTTCATTTTTGTTCGTTTGATATAAAATTGATTTTTGAGTTAGGTTTGGATTTATGGGACAACATAGAAAATTTTAATTTATTCAGGTACCAAAGTGGAAAAATTGATTTTTTTTTTTTTTTTTTTTTTTTTTTTTTTAGTGAGAAACTTAATTTTGAAATTCCCACCATGGCAAGAGTTGATAATTGGACTAAATTGGGAAATGACAAATAGTAGTGACCAAAATGGGAGATTTTTTTTTGTAAGGACCAAAGTGAGAAATAGTCCATACTTTAAGGGTGGAAGGGTAATTTACCTTAAAAGAAAAAAAGAAAAAGAAAAAGAAAAAGAAATGTTAAATAATAAGAGTGGGACCAACATATTAATGTGACTGCTACATTGTTTTTCTTGTACAATTTTGGACAAAGCTTTCAGGCATCCTAGAACATGATGATACCTTTTTTGGTGGGAAAGTGTGGGGTGGGTTGGATTAGTTGGATTATTTATTTATTTATAACCTTTGATAATGTCTTCACCCTTTCACCTCACTTGTTTAAGTACTTGCTCCGGTTGGTTGATTTTTGGGAAATCCCGTGATCTACGGGGGCAATTATTTTGATCACACTGGTAAAAATCATTAAAGACCATTTTACGCCTAGTTTTCTCTCTTGCATGCCCATGCAACCAGGGCAAATTTGGACTTTAGAAATCACGAGCAAAGGAATCCCCTGCAACTTAACAAACACATAGAAACAAAACTGCCACCTACCGACCTCTGTCTCTTTACCCAAACAAAGCCAACCTGTATCTTCCCATCCCTGTCCAATGACCATCATCCACGTGGCACTATACCCTACCCATCTCAAATCTATAGTCGTAGAATGTCTACACACACATAAATTAATTACAAAATTAGACACAAAATGCATATGAACAGATGAATTTTTTTTTATAAAAATTAGACTTTATTAATAAAAGGGTAAATTACAAACACCCCTCAAGTTTTGATAAAAATACAGATTTCTCTCTGAGGTTTGAGAAATTACAAATTGCTTCCTGAGGGTCAAATTTTTATAACAAATTAGGAAAAATTCGGGGAGAATCTGTATGAAAATAAAAACTTTAGAGGGTAATTTGTTATGAAAATATAAACCTCAAGGGGTAGGATGTAATTTCTCAAACCTCATGGAAGAATCTGTATTTTCACCAAACCTCGAGGGAGGTGTTTGTAATTTGCCCTTAATAAATATTGTCTATTTGTGTTCAATTTTGTGAGCAATTTATGTGTTCGTAGCAGAATTTGTCGTCATAACTTTTTGATTGCCTTAATCATGACTTCCATAAAAAAAACAAACCCCACAAATTTCTCTCTTCTTATATGTGCTGATTACACATTTATTGCACTCTCCAAGAAGTATAGTATTGTGTTGGTTTGATTTGCATCATCATTTTTGATCATTGGATGGCATCTTTTTGGTTTCTCCTAGCACCACCACTCATAATAATGGCTTTCATGGCCTCTCCTTCACTCTCTTTTTCTTCTTCTAAAAAGCTACAAAACACACCACCCATTGCTACTACTATTGCTACTATTTCAGCAGCTCCTGCATTGTTGCCTAATCCACCACTCTCATCTCCATTCACAGAGTTGTCACCTGATATTTCTCCTCTCCTGCCTTCTCCCGGTGGTGAATTGCCTTCTCCGACCGGGTCTTCCATCCCCACCATTCCTTCCAACCCGAGCCCTCCAAACCCGGATGAAACACTCGGTTTGGGCCCTGATTCTGCTCTGGTTTCCCCATCCAGGTCGAATAAACTGACCTCCACTGGAGCCTGTTTGGATTTGTTTGGGTTTGTGAATTTCTCAGTTTTGGTGGGCTTGATGTTGTTTTGATTAGTGCAGGCTCTTGCAATGTGAGGTTGGAAAATTCAATTGATTGTTGTAAGTTCCCACTTTTAGTTGATGTTGAATTTGCTTTGTTCAAAGTGTATATGACAATTCATGCTGTCTAATGTTTTGTTTGGTTGGGGGATTTAGAGAGAAATTTGGAAAGGAAAATAGAAAAAGTAAGTGATATGTGAATAAAACATGCCTATATTTCACCTAGTTTCACACACCTTTTCCCTTTCCCTTTTCAAATTCCTCCCCAAATCTCCCAACCAAACACAGCATAAGTGTTCTAGTTGAGAGTTGAGTAGTACCTTTCTTGAGAATTTAGATTGATTGTTACGGTTGACTGTTGTTTTCACTACTTTGGTTAGTTGTGTTCTATTGTGTTCAAGAGTCAGAATGGTGATCAAATTTGGCTATCAAATTTTGAATATGATTTTGCCATCAATACATGGATTTAATGTGCATATCCATTGACGACATTATTAAAAATTTGATATTCAAATTTGATTACAACAATATTATATACCTAAAAAAGGTGTCTCAATAATGAAATTTATGGACCAAATTTGTTTTTGATATGACCCCCTTGACACCAACTTTGATTTGGGGTAGAATTTTGAAGAAGTATTCTGGATAAAATTTGATTACAACAATATTATTTAACTAAAAAAAGTATCTTAATAATGAAATTTATGGACTAAAGTTTAATTTTGGTATGACCCACATGACACCAAATTAAGACTTTGATTTAGGACAGAATTTTGAATAAGTATTCTGAATACTTAAAATTATTGTAAATATATTGAGAAGCATTAGTCTAAAAATATAGTGCTTCCTTTGTATGCTTAAAACTTGTCTGTGGGAACTAACTGGGATTAGTTCAGCCGGCCAGAACTAGGGGTACAATTTAGGTGAGATGAGAGGTTGTTAGAGTTGCTAAAGTCCAACTTGCAACTTTAACTTGTTTGCTAAAAAATGACCTGAGCGTAATAAATTAAATTCGGGTAAGATCCAAATTGCTCACATTTTTTTGTTTTTGGCAATGTATATGTAATATTTAATATATTTATATATAATTTGGGTTTCAAGTTGCTTAGTATCTTTATTGAAACCATAGTAAATTAAAAAATATGCTGTTCAACTTCTAAAAAATATGAGTTGAATTCAAGTTGTTTTGGTCGAACCAATCCAAATCACACCCTTAGCAAAAAAAACCTACATTTTAGGAGGGTAATAGTTCAAATCTTCTTAACTTCAAATTAATGTTCCAAAAACCAAAAAACTTGACTGTAGGATTTTAGTTTTTATTCAAAGTTAACTAAAAAAAAAAAATTAGATGCGAAAGTGTTTGCTGTATTTCCCTTGTCTTAGCTGGAAGCAACTCTGAGGGACAAGTGGGCACATGGGTGGCTCATTTCTATGTAAGTAAACAAAATTATTTTGTTTAGGCCAAGTTTGGCAACTTTTTTTTATCTTTTTATTTTTTTTTATCACATCCCTTCTCTACTTTTCTGCACATCTTTTCGTAAAAAGACAAAAGTTTCACTTATTTAGGTTATTTTAAATAAGTGCTAAATGTCATCATCTTACTCCAAAATTAGCTGTCTTGTTTGGATTAGGTCTCTTTTCATTTCTATCATGAACTCTATGTCTCCATCAAAATTTAAAATTAGCCGTTTACAAAGTGTCACAAGACATCTTTAATTGGATGTTTTCTAGTATGATGCAACTCTTTTAGCATCAATGATCATCTATTTTCATGAATTGAAATTAAGATGGTAAAACAAACTAAGTTGGTGAAGTTGAAATAATATTTGACTTGTTAAGCAAATAGGTTACATTTGAAGACATGTTAAAATCTATTAAGTTTGCAAATCAAATTCAAACAATCTATTAATTAGCTTCATAAATTTGTATATATTATAAAAAATTATATTATATAAACTCATGTATTATAAAAAACTATATTATAATCTCGTCTCATTAGTAGTTTGATTAAAAAATAAATAAATTTAATTGGAAACATATTTTAAATCCAATAATATATGGAAACCTGCCTTGTCCGGGACTGTTGATGTCTGTGGCACGTGGCCATAAGATTGCCTTTTCCTTGAAAGAATTTTGATACTTAAGCTAGCCTTAATTGTGAGACCAAAAATTTAATGAAAATAGATTTGGAATCTAATCCCGCTCAAACCCTAATTGTTTTTTAAGGACTTCATTCATAGCAATATGGTTTCACATGTCATGTTTCTTTATAAGATTTCAGATATCCAAAAACATTTTTATTTGACAACCAAACACAAAAGGCCTGTTGGGTAACGTTTACGTTTTCAGTTTATATTTACAAAAATTTTATAAATTAGTTTTTGTTTATTTTTAAAAAAACATAAATTACAAAAATATTTGGTTTAGATAAAATGTTTAAAAAAATTTAAAAATATAAAAAAGTGTGAGAAATGGCAAGTAGTGGCGGGTGGTGACGAGTGGTGGCAGCGGAAGACGGTAGTGGAAAATGATGGCGGATGGTGGGTGATGGTGGTAGAAGATGGTGGCAGGTGGTGGGTGATAGTGGCAGAAGACGGTGATGGAAAGTGGTGGCAAGTGGGTGGTGGTGGCGGAAGACGGTAGTAAAAAGTGATGGCAAGTGGCGGATGGTGACGGCAAAAGACGGTGGTGGAAAGCGGTGACAGGTTGGGTGATAAAAAAAACAAATTGAAAACAGAAACACATTTTTTGACGGTGATGAAAAATGGTGGCAGATGGCGGCTAGTATTGGGTGATAAAAAAAACAAATTGAAAACAGAAACACATTTTTTGACGGTGATGAAAAATGGTGGCAGATGGCGGCTAGTATTGGGTGATAAAAAAAACAAATTGAAAACAGAAACACATTGGAAGACGGTGATGAAAAATGGTGGCAGATGGCGGCTAGTATTGGGTGATAAAAAAAACAAATTGAAAACAGAAACACATTTTTTGACGGTGATGAAAAATGGTGGCAGATGGCGGCTAGTATTGGGTGATAAAAAAAAAACTGAAAACTGAAAACAAAAACACATTTTTTGAGTTTACATTTTTTAGTCAAATTTATAAACTGAGACCACTGATTTATAAATTAAAAATTTACCAAACAAGTTTTTATTTGAATTTTTTAAATTTTTGTAAATATAAACTGAAAACGTAAGTGTTACCAAATGACACCATTGAACATCTTTACTTCATTGCCTACCCTCGTTTGGGAAGAAGTTATTTTAATAACTTTTTGACTAAAAAATGAGATAAAAAAAAACTAATATATTTGAAATAATTTTTTAATTTTTTACGAAAAGATATGCAACAAATAAAAAGAAAAGAGGATATTTGTCTTTTTGATATAAGTTATTGACTTTTTGATTTTTTTAATAACTCTTTAATTTTTAGGCTAAAACAACCACTTGTCAAATGAGGCAGTGCAGAAAAACATAAGTTAAAGACACTTATTCCTCAATTTCTCAATAATCAGATTTTTAAAATTTATTTTAATTATTTCCACCTTATAAGCAACAATTGTACCAAATAATTTAATACAAACTTTAAAAAAAAATTTAAAAAAAAATATTATAAGCAATCTTTATAAACTGCACGCACTTGACATAACCATAATCTTTTTATTTTTTTTGCTTACTCTGCAAAAATTGGCTCACAAATACATGATTCAACTAGAGCCACAAACTTCAGATACAGCATACATGGATTCATTTACACCTTGTGTAGAAATTATAATAATCCACAACACCGAAACAGGATTAATCCAAACACAGCCTAAATGAATGGAACAATGGGTTTGCCAACTTGGTTTTCAAGAAATCTTTCCATCAATCTCAACTTCAGTTAGGAGTGTCTAGGAACCAATAGAACTATATAAATAAGTAAAAAGAGGTTTATTAAAGTTCTAATACATTTCTAAAATAAGTCTAATAAAACAAAACGAAGCAAACTGAGTATTTTTTGACGAAACAAAAACAAAGAAAACATAGAAAGCCCTTTTAAATTAAATCTAACAAGCACACATAAGCAGCATTAAAGTAAAAAAGATTGCCAAGGTCTTGGTGAAATGAGAAAGGAAAAAAAGAACTTTCCTGCAAAGTAATTAAGCCTTCTTTTCAATGAGCTTGTCGATCAGGTCTGCTGCATCTTGAACAGTCGCAATATTCTGGGCACTTTCTTCTTCCACGCTGATCCCAAATTCCTCCTCCAGTCCCATCACAATCTCCACCTGAATATGAAAGCGAAGTCTTTATCGATTATAATGATCGAGAAAATCATTTTAGAAGACAACTATATTAACAGGCAGAGGGAGAGCGTAAGCCAACAATGACAACAGATATTCACAAGGTGGATTGATCCAAAGGATAGATTGGGATTCCTTCTTTTTTGCTTGAGGACTTACTGTTGATTTAAGTGAGGCAGATTTAAGACCCTTTAGAAATAGGTGTTAGTGAAGCACAAAATTGTTACATTGTTTACAGTGAAAGGGGGGCGGGGACTTTAGAAATTATTTCTAAGCTGATATAATGATTTCATGAATTTTTTTTCATAAGATACTTCTTAAAGGAAGACAATTATCTAGGTTTAATTTAATACCGAAAGAAAGATGTACAAACATAGACATCAAAGTATTAACTAGAGCGAAATAAGTAGTATATTATCATCACAACATTTAACAAGAAATCAGTTCATCAGATGATATTTCATGGGAACAAATTCGATACCGTGTCAAGAGAGTCAGCTCCAAGTGTTGCGAACTTTGAGTCTCCGGTGACTGCAGTCCCAGCTGGTAGTGCCAGCTGTTTCCTCACTATTTCACACACTTTGTCTACTGTCTCTGGTTTGGCCTGTTCAAACAAATCAGCAACATATCATATATCATATATGTATACACACATGTATACCAGGACTGAAGTTTTTATTTATTTTTTAATAAATAAACAGATATTATTAAAAAAGTATCAAGATGATGCAATGAATACAAAACGACATCCCCAATACCAGGACTGAAGTTTTTATGCAGCGTGGATGCCACACATTATGTACTAGTGCTGGTAAACTCTTTAAAGCTTGAACTTTTTACATGGCATGAATAACATTCCCCTTTACGTCAAACAATCTACAGAGACAGACGTAATGTATACCGAACCACCTTGTGGCTGTTCCAAATTACAAAGGCACAGCATCACTCAACAAACAACAATTTTGGCATTCCCATAAAACTATACATGTCTAAGCAATCAATCTAAAACAAGTGATTGCCAATAATGAGAAATTGATCCCCATTTTATTTCGCATGGAATATTAGACGGATGCATTGCTTATCACTACACCACACAACATGTTCTCCAAGAAAATGAATGAATGCATATTAGTAACATATGGAAATGATGAAGGTTAACAGTACTTCATGCCGCAACCATGTTTGTGCCACATAAATATCTTAACAATGTCATAAATTGTGCATCACACAAACTTTATTTGCTGAGTTTATGCTTACTGTGCAAATTGTGAGACTTTGAAATCAGTTGAGAATGTGGATTGCAAAGACAGATAAGAACCATTAATTTACATAGAAAACAAGCTTTTACGCCTACATTGGGTGATATTGCAATTAGAGAAACATACCGCACACGAAATCCGAAATCGATGCGTCACTGGGCGCAACCTAAGAGATGGGAAGCATTTTCCGTTGATTGACAGCGAAACTGAATTCAGACTAGAAATCTTGGTGGGCGCCTGCTCAATCCAAAAACAAAATCTGAGTAAACCCAAAAAAACAAAGAAAACACAAAAAGACAACAAAAAAAAAAAACAAAAAAAACAAATCATTGAAATAGAATTTCAATTTTTTTTGGTTGATTACATCAAGACCCCTAAACTATCAGTGAACATCACCTCACCCTCATTTTGAGTTGAGGTGGTTTGGTGTAATAAACCAATTTTATTTTCCCTATGCACAAGCACATGCACGCAACACGCACAAAACACGGAATAAATGGGCTTGTTTGGTTTGTTTTTGGGAGAGTTGTTTTTGAAAAAAATTTTGGGGAGAGAGTTTAAATTTTTTTTTATTTGTTTGGTTATATATTTTGGGAGAGTTGTTTTTTGGGAGTTTGGGATGATTTGATATTTTGGGAGAATTTGAGTAGATGTGTGTGAAAGAAAAAGTGATTGAGAATAAGAGAGGAGAGAGAAAAAGTAATGGATTGATATGTAAGAGAGAGAAAGCGATTTTGAATTCCTCCTCCAGTCCCATCACAATCTCCACCGTGTCAAGAGAGTCAGCTCCAAGTGTTGCGAACTTTGAGTCTCCGGTGACTGCAGTCCCAGCTGGTAGTGCCAGCTGTTTCCTCACTATTTCACACACTTTGTCTACTGTCTCTGGTTTGGCCGCACACGAAATCCGAAATCGATGCGTCACTGGGCGCAACCTAAGAGATGGGAAGCATTTTCCGTTGATTGACAGCGAAACTGAATTCAGACTAGAAATCTTGGTGGGCGCCTGCTCAATCCAAAAACAAAATCTGAGTAAACCCAAAAAAACAAAGAAAACACAAAAAGACAACAAAAAAAAAAAAACAAATCAATGAAATAGAATTTCAATTTTTTTTGGTTGATTACATCAAGACCCCTAAACTATCAGTGAACATCACCTCACCCCTCATTTTGAGTTGAGGTGGTTTGGTGTAATAAACCAATTTTATTTTCCCTATGCACAAGCACATGCACGCAACGCGCACAAAACACGGAATAAATGGGCTTGGTTTGTTTTTGGGAAAGTTATTTTTGAAAAAAAATTTGAGGAGAGAGTTTAAAATTTTTTTTATTTGTTTGGTTGTATATTTTGGGAGAGATGTTTTTTGGGAGTTTGGGATGATTTGATATTTTGAGAGAATTTGAGGAGATGTGTGTGAGAGAAAAAGTGATTGAGAATGAGAAAGGAGAGAGAAAAAGTGATTGATTGATATGAAAGAAAGAGAAAGTGATTTTGAAAATTTTTTGAAAAAAACTCAAACCAAACAATTTTTTTAAATTTTTTTTCTAAAACTCATCTCCCAAATACAAACCAAACATACCTAATATTTCCCTTGAAACCACAGATCAAAGTTACATAAATTACAACAAAAATATTGTTTTTTTAAATATTATCATTTTATGAAATGAAATAGCAACACTAGAAATTGCAATTTTCTTTTTTTTAATTTTATTTTTTTTTTAGTTATCATCAAAGGAGCTACACAGTGCTGATAACAAACATCCTTGCAAATAACATTTTAACTTCGTCACAAAAATCGAAATCAATCCTGAAAAATGGATAAAGAGCTAAAGATCGTGAAAGTCGAAAACGAGAACCACACAATGATTAGCATAATCTATTACCAAATCAAATAAAAACACGAGATTAGGTTAACAATCAACGAAAATAAAAATCATACAATCAATAAACATATATATATATATATATATCGCAAGTAATATAACAGAAATGTAAATGAATGCGTGTAACAACATTAATTTCCAAACAACGAATGCGAATAGAGAGTGAAAAAAATTGAAATCGAGAGTTGATAGAGTGAAGATCTTAGAGAAATTACCTGGTTTTGCTTGAATGAGCATGAAAAGGAGGTCGTTGACATCGAAGATCCAGCAACAAAAGCCATTGATGGAGATGAATGTAATGGTTGAGAGAGAGATCTGAAGCTGTGATCGAAGAAAATGAGGAGAGAGAGAGAGAAGAGAGAGAGGCGGAGAGCACGAAGAGTGTGATACGGAGAGACAGACAGAGAGAGAGAGAGACTAGTATTTATATAGTACTTCGTTTTGGCCTGTTTGGCTTTGTTTACATCGAAATCAGGGTGTTTGGTTGCGGTGATACGGAGAGACTGGGAGGGGACAGCGTAATGTCTGACATTTGCTTTATCCTGAAATCTTGTTTCAATTTCAGAATCAGCTGTTTGAATTTTTTTAAAAACAAATATAAATTAAGTTTATAAAAATAAACATTAAAAAAAATTTGAATTTGATTTTATTATATTTTTTTCATAAAATTAATCTAAATTTTTTTTAAAATAAATTCAAAATTTAAACTAATATAAAACTTGTTACCAAGGGGATGTTTGGTAATGATTTCTGCATATGTAATGAATGCATGGTGAAGAAAAAACAAACAGGTGTGGGACATGCAGAATTTTCATGAGACATTTGTCATTTCATTTTGATTTTGTTTTGAATTATCAATTCTCTTCTTTTCTTCATATAATTATTAAAAGGTGGTTTGATAAAAAAAAAAAATAATATTGTACATTCAATTTAATCTTCAGTAAAAAAATGATTGACAAAATTGGAAATTTAGAACTTTCAATGCCTAGTTTTAAATTATTTAAAATTTTGAAAAAAAAATTGAAGATGAATTTAGTAGAGCTACGATTAAGATATAAACCATCAAATAATAAGAAAATATTTATAATTTATAATTTAAAATAATATTTTATTCATTTATCCTCTAGTTTCAAATCTCAAAGGGTGGAGCAATGGTGAGATTTCCTTTCCCACTCCTTTGAAATTATCCCCAAAGCTTGTATAATATTTTCATGATTAAAAAAAGCCTTTTAAAACTTAGTTATATCAAATAAAAACTTACCATGTTGTAGTTTTTGCTTTGAATATTTATTCATGAAAAACTTTTTTTTTTGGATAAGTAAGTCATATTATAACTAAAAAAGAAAAATATATAATGAAGTTCAACACACAGTTTTTGATGGGAACACAAAAATAAACAAAATAAACTACTCCATCAAAAAACAAACTGAGCTTATAGAAAACAAGCACAACATTCCCAACAAAACAAGGATTCAGAATTTCCTTTTAGCATTCTTCAAGTCATGAAGTTTCGCTTTAAGTTTTCTTCTGTTATCCTCTTTTGAAGCCTCCCCATAACTAGGATCACTTGGAGATAGACTCTCTCTATTTCTCAACTCTTGACTTGAATCTCTATTTCCTAACTTGTCCATATCACAAGGACATCAAAGGCATTAGATGTTGAGGGGATAGAAGACTGTGTCTCTCTCTCTTTGTTGATCAATGGCGTTGAACCTTGCCCACCATCTCTATTCATGAAAAACTTGTCTTGGTCATGTTCAACTCTAATTTTCATTTTTTATTTCCGCCTCACAAATTTGGCCCTACAAGGTTCTCTCTCACTAAAATTGAAAATTCCACCATAAATAACAATAAACATATAACTAAGCTCTATCTCATCAATTTTTAAGAGAGTTAAACATAAAATTTCAACAATTTCATATTTATGTGAAGAGTTATTTTCGAAGGACATATGATCCCATTAATCATTGTAAGAAGTGAATTTTGTCATCTTTTTTTTTTTGTTTTTGTTCTTGTTCTTGTGTGGGTGTATTCCAACTACCAAAAAAACAATTAACCAAACATTTGTGACAAAGTAGAAAATTTTATTTATTGATATTATTTATACAAGAACCAATGCTATTGGCTTTGATATCTTTTATAAGGCAAGTTAGTTGGGCTAACCAAACAGGGGAGGTTGACGAGGCAAAAGCCAAAAATAAATAAAAATAAGAACAAAAAAAAAAAAAGAGAAAAAAACAGCTGCTTAATAATTTTCATACGAAATTGTGCGTCATTCCAAACCTCAACCAATTTGGATGGCCTAACTCATCATATTGCACAACAACAAACACAAAAATGTCAATACAAGTGGGTGGATTAGACTTCACACAACACTTTCATATGGTCTAGAAGGCATGAAAAGTCGGCCCAATTTGATAAATTTCCAAACGGCCTGGCTCAAGCACAGACCAAGACCCTGGGGCTAGGATTGGGCTTTTGTTGGGCCCTTGAATCGGTCTTAAGAATGTAAGCCCAAACCCAACCTGCAAGGGCCTGAGCCTAGAATGACCAAAATGGCAGGCTTGGGCCGGCCCATGAGCCGAGACAATTAAATGAAACTTACCATTTTCCCTTGAACTTGTAAATTTTGAAACCTATACTAGAGCAAGAAATAAAAACTCTGGGAAATCTGTTAACAAGTGGAGTGCCATTGCGAGAGAGAAATTACAAGGGTACACAATGCCACTCCCTTCTAAAAATAGGCCCATATAAATTTTATGTAACAAAAGTTTTTTTTCATATCATAAAACCATAAGTCATTTCTAACACTAATTGGTTTTGGACGAGTAGGTAAAACTCGGTCCGACAATGAAAAATCATCAATCCATGATTTATGTAACACAAGTGCAATCCATAAAGCCAGGAAACATGACAATTTCATCCAATATTTAACGTCAAAACCAATATACACAAGTTGGAGAGTAGATGACAAAATGACACAAAGTTACGGTTTTAGGGCAGTCAGGGAGACGACAAGCTCATGGTTGGATCAATGACTGATCCTCGAGAAAATTGAATTCCAAACCACAAACCACAATAATCAATAAATTATAAGCAGCCTATTAGAACTAAGGCACCCTACACACCCCACACTGAAAAGCACATAGATAATTAGCAAACAACAAACCTCAAATCAACAGCCGATCACATAATTTACAAAAATGCCGATGAATTAGTTCTGCATTCTCACTTCTGCTCTCATTGCAATTGATGCACGCTTTGCTCAATCGGCGAACCAGCAACAAAGGGTACAAAACCCCGTCCACCAAAAGCAGGACGCATGACAGCATTATCGAATTTTCGCCAATAGTAGTGCACGGTATTGGAAGGGGTGGCTAGAAGCATCCGCAAGCTGGTAGGGCGAGGAATGTTATGTGTACCCAGATCAGCTTCTGAATCGTGCCCGTTGGTCAGGAGTGGCATAGTGAAGGATTTAGGAGATGTTGGTTCAGAGGACAGCATTCCGTTCAAGTGCTTTGGTGAAGGCAGCAAGATTCTCACCAAAGGTTTAGTCATCAATCCAAAAACCTGGAAATGCACATAAGAGTTAAAAAGATATTAGACGGCCTCTTGATGTTTGACAAAAGAAATAACTTTGACGGGATGTGATGTTTTTAGCTCTCCCATCTTTTTAGAAAAGTCCGGGCTAAATCATCTCAAATATGGCACTACTTTACATTCCATTCAACTGTGAATCTCAAGGAAACTCAATGCTGAAGCATTTCTGTGGACACTTATTTTAGCAGTTGAGACAAGTTCCGAAGAATCATGGTCACATTTTAGAAGCTCCATCAAACTATGGCCTCATTTGGGAAGTTAGCTATTTAGTTTTTGGCTATTTTACTATGTTAAAATATTTGTGTTTAGGAAGAGGATTGAATTTTTTTTGTAATTGAATGTGAGGTTTGTGATAGAAAAACTGAAATGATGATGGGTTTGATGTGACATTTTGTCTTATTGACTATTTTAGCATATTTTGTGTTTTTATGGATTTTAGCCCCAAAAAAAAAGCCAAATTTTGGCTTCCCAAACAAGGTATATTGGAAATATTTTGGAAATGTTCAGTAAGCTTTTGAAAAGCTATAGGGACACTTTTTAGCATGGCTTGTCCTCAAGGTCAAGTCTCTCTCTCCAGGCAGACTGCTACACTGTACAGGTTGATTTCACTGTCGCTAGAAAGTCTAAGATATCTTACCACTGTGCTGCAAAGAACAACTGTGATGGTGCTGGTGATCATGATTGCATTCATGCGTAATTGGGTATGACCTGCCCTTGTAAACTGCTTGCATGAAAATTAAGATGGCATTACATATATCCATATCAGAACATGATATCAAAACCCTGCTTTGCAGGGGCAGGCATGAACAAGAAGTTATTGGTTGGTCAACGGGCTGCGCCACGTGGCGCTCCACATGCATTGTGATTGGTGGAGGGGATATGGTCCACAATTTTGTATTGGGTGATTGGGGAACATGAGGGGGCATGGAGGTTTGTGATTGGCCTGGGGCATGGCCACATGGTGCCCTAGGACCAACCAATAATTTTTCCGCATGAACAAGTCACAGATAACCACCTATAGATGCTGATAAACTAAATGTACACACATGTGCAAATGTATATTCATAAGGACAATGCTGAATCAGTTACCTGATTATAAGCAAGAGCCATAGAAACAGCACCTCTCATAAGACCAGCCCACCAAATCGTAAACTGAAAAATAGTGGGAAAAATAATGGTGAATGTACCAATTAATTTAAGGGCATCAGAAACATGGAGCCAGAATGATGAGCTTATACTTGCTGCTTTATGTCAATTTTCTCGTGTGGAGACTTCCTGGTCAGATTAGCTATAAATGATAATGGGAAAACAAAGGCTGCTCTTCCAACCAAAATCAGTCCCAATAGTATTGAGCTCACTCCAACTGATGTTCCAGGGCTGTGAGAAAAGAAAAAAAAAAGTGGCATTTTTAATCAGATATTCAACCATGCAATCATAGATATAGTATGTGACATTTCACTTGTATTGACAATCCTAGACAAATGTGTGACTGATACTAGTTTTATGTTGACGTATGAACCATACCTTCCATTTACAAATCTCCACTTTTCCATGTCCAAGGCATCCATGCCAACATAAAGAAAGATAAATATCTCACAAACAAATGATAATGTCGCAAAAGCATGCCTGAAAACATGTTTACAGACAACTATAGTATTAGTACCATTAAATATTGACCAGCATTCTGCCAAAACAGAAAAGGAAAAAATAATTTGTTTCAGGGGCTGGCAATAACTTATTTGGACATCAAACATACTTGGTAGTGATTCTTGAACTCTCGGTGACATTATGCCAGGTGTAATGGGACATCACAATCCCGCAAAAGAAAACTGTGAGAATGGCACTTAAATAGAATAACTGCAAAACAAATTAGGCTATTAAAATTCCAGGGCTAAGATGCTGAAATTGCATGACTCCAAAATTTGTATGCGTGTTCAGGATAAGACAAAGTCACAAAAGAAGAAAGAAATAGCAAATGAGGTGTCTATAAGTTGTGGGAAATCATACTTCAGCCAGCATATATGAGAGGTAAGCCATGAGCATCATAAGAGCAACCTCACGATCAGTAGAGTGCCTGCAGTTTGTAATAAAAAGTATAAATAGTTTTCCTCAATGAATAATTGAAAATTCTTGTACTTGATCCTCTCATACCACTTCTCTTTCCATAAGCTACTTACGGATAAAAAAGAAAGAATCAAACAGATTCTCTTTCCATAAGCTACTTATGGATAAATAAGAATCTCTCTCTCTCTCTCTCTCTCTCTCTCTCTCCGCACACCCACAAATGTAGCAGCCATCAGGACCACAATCATATGCTACTAAAGGCGTAACAACAAATCAGGTGCAGAAGCAGAGACAAAGGAAGCTTTTAATCACCTGCAACCAGGAACGGAACCAGGATTTCATTATCAGAGGGGCCAAAAGAAAATAATTTTTTTCACCATATACACAAAACATACATGTATGTATAATATAATATGATATATATAAATTATATATACATAAAAAAAATTTAAATACCACAGAAACAATTTCTAATAAGATGAAGAAGTTTTTTTGGTGTAAAATAGAAAGAGAATTCAAGATGGAAGAAGAATGACATTTTTTTTTTTATACTAAGGGGCTATTTTATGTATAAAATGATATATATATATATATATTTTCAAAATTCAATGGCAAACAATAATTTCAAAGAAACAGGGGGGCCATAGCCTCCCATAGTCTTCTCCTAGTTTCGTCCCTGCCTGCAACTGCACCATTCCTATGGCCCCCATTGACAGACTGTATCTGTTTTAAACTACAAACTCCCAAAACAAATATCAGGCACTGCATTTTGTGGTCGATTAAGTGATGATAACATAACGCAAATTTAGCAGTATGAAACCTATTTACAAACCTCCCAAAATAAAGCTTTTTGATGATGAATGCACTAAGCAATCCAGCCTGCACAAGTAGAAACAAAAATGTCAGAGACATAAGACCAGAAGTAAACACATGCATACATACACACACAAGAGAGGGGGGAGAGAGAGAGGGGCCGGTACTCACTACGACTCCCAGTATGGTGCTCGTGGCAAATAAATATAAGAAACTGCCGACTAACTGCAAAATTGTGCTTGAGTTGATATGAGATAGGTCAAAGCTCTGGATTGCATTGAAAAGCACCACTGATGTGGCATCATTCACAACCCCTTCCCCAAAAACTAGACTGTACAGTAGAGGCGTCTCATCCTGATTAAGCACCTGCAACACAAGTGGGAATGTGGGATACATTGTGTTGTGGGAAGTGTTTTCGATTGAGACAACATGACCACAGCGTCAAAAAAGGGTAGCTGTACCTGCAAGGTGCAAACAGAATCTGTTGCAGAAAAGATTGCTCCAATTGCTGCAAACAATTGAGCAAAATGAGAGAACATGAGTATAAGTTGCATGAGTTGCATGAGTAACAGAGAGCACAAGAAGCATTAGGGAAATAGAAAGGGAGGTACCCAGGTAATCTCCTACATCGAGAGAACCAATATTCATTTTGTTAAAGAATCTCATAGCACCTGCGGGAAAAATTAAAGAGAAAAATATGAGCAATAGTACAGCCTGCATTCAGCACTAATGAACCCAAACACAGTTAGTACTGGATAATTAGACTTTGATATCACAAGAATTTTGCATAAGCCCCATTTCCTTTTCTCTGTTCTGATAATGACAGAACATGTTGAAATGTAGTACCAGTGCAAGAAGTCTCATAGATTCATTTGTGTGTGCAAACAGATCTAATGAGAAAATGACATCCACTAATCCATGTCATCCTGACAAGGAAAAACCAAGTGAACTCTTCTAGTTATCAACTCAGTGCACCAAGTTATTTACTTTTGTATGCAACTCGCTTCCTTGAAACTCCTCCAGTCTCCCATCTATAGTATATAATAATGAGATGGGTAGGTTATTGAGGTCATTACCCACCGTACATGCAAGAAATGTATAAACAGGGCACATGGAAGAATTAGAAGCATCCATGAGTTTAACTAAGATTCATCACCAAATAAATGGTTTGTTCACTTACATCTGCACCAAAAATATTGCCACCCACTGCTCTTTCAATAGTGCAATTAGAATTAAGGAATGCAACTATGAGCACAATCATAGGATTCAAGAGGTTGCTAGTACAGCATCTTGCCCTTAGCATGGTTAATAATTGGAACATTTACTGTCTGAGATGCAGCAGTCCTCTTCAGATGAGACATTTTCTTGCCCAATGGATATTTCATCAAATAATTATGCACTTATAAGCTTTTTTTCTTTTTCTACACAGACACAGAAACAAGAGGAAATGATTGCAGATACAAGAACATACCAAAGGAGATGATGGCAAAGGATATCAGAGTACCAATCGCACCAAATAGCATGATAGTCATGAAGTTTCGAAAAAACTGCTTCTTCTTTACTTGAAACCTGATGAATAACATTCAGCCAAAGGCAAACAAAAAGATTGAAGTCATTAACAAAGGTGCACTTGCAATAGCAGTCAATAAACATAGGTGCCGCAAAACAAGAATACCATGTTATTAAAAGCAGTAAAAACACTAGAGGACAATGGGCTACTAAAAAGTAGTTGAACTAACTTCATAAAATATCCCGTTGAAAACATCCTGACATACATAGTATTTGTGTAAAAAATGTAGCACCAATTCTAGTGTCAAAGATGACAAGAAAAGGAGAGAGAGATAACTCAAATGAGAACCGACTTTTCAGGTGTTATCATGTTGGATATTGCAGATAGTTTACAGTCTCTTTTTAGGCAAATAATTATTACAACAAATTGCATAATTGATTTTTATTTTACATTACTGTACAGTACCTCTATATGCAATATAGATGTAGCACTAAGCAAATTGAAGTTAATTCAACATCAAAATTCATCATACCTGATTTAGAAACAACAATGTATTATCAAACTCAGACACGTGAACAATTGACAGTAAGGTTTCAATTAACTTCCAAACACTACATAGCATGACCTATGTGACTTGTGTGAGTGTGGATGTGCACACCGACTCAAAACAATAACAAAATTTTGTGCGGTTTATTTAATGGAAAACTACCACAAAAAGTCACATCCAATTTTGCCATAGAAAGAAGATATTGATGAAAATGCAAAACATACCCGGCATTGAAAATGATCGGTGGAAGAAGATATATGAAAAAAAGATCTTCACTGAACACCAAAAGATGTGAATTTTTTCCTCCACTGGTTAGTAAGATAACAATTCCAGTGCACAGGCCCTGTCATCAACCAACATAAAGTCAAATCCTGTCGATCTTAAGCCACCATAAACCACAAATATGTGCAGGCAAGGATTGATACATCAGTTTATACATAAACTCACTATTATGAGGGCTGTAATAGACTCGTTCATCCACCGGTTCTCCTCCAACAGATGTCCAATCACAATACACGCGAGAAGAAGCGCTACGAATAAGTTTATCGAGACTACCTCAGTGTGATCAGATGTAGATAATCTATTCATCTTCGCCAATATAGAAACTAAGCCAACTCCCATCTTAGCCCACTCAACCGATCACAACAGTGCACCAGATCAATCAAAATCACCAAACCCTTGGCTTCCAACAAACCAAAATCAAATTTTCAACTTCTGAATTTCAGTCCAGTGACTATGTAAGCTCTCACAAACCAAACAAACTCTGCAAAACAAAACCAACAGTGTACCATTTCGAATCAATGGATTTAACAAGTTTGTACTTTCATAGAAGCTGAGTGAGTGAGCTAGTACCACCAGATTTACAGAGTTTAATCTTTGCTCAAACTCCAATTACACACACATACATGCATACTAGTTATTTATAAACATAAATTTTAAACAAACACAAACTCAGAATTTCTCACAAATCAAACCATACGCAAATAAAAAAAAGTGAGTGATTAGGTTCAACCAGATTTCCACACCTCAATCGTTCTCTGAAGTTCAATTAAAAACACAGATATAAACAGGACTATACATAATACATACATATACACCTATGTAGAACTGAGTGAATAGCTCACCTGAAGATTCAGAAACAAAGAGAGCGAGAATGCGAATAGGAATCGGCAATGTGATCTCCAAGTAGATCTCGAACTCGTAGATCAAATTCGAAATTGTTCACACTCTCGAAAAATTGCTTTTTGCGATCAAACAAAACGCGAATTGAAGAAAACTTGTAGTGAATTTTGTTGAATAAATCGCAGAAACGAACCCGAGAAACAGAGAAATTGAGAGAGGTAGGGTGCTACTGGTACCGTACGTGCGCCAATGATATTTGTAGAGAGAAAGGTGTCGCCTGTAGAGAGAGACAGAGAGAGAGAATAGACTGGGGGAGAAGGGGGCCGCGAAAGCGAATTAATAGTTTGCGAGTTGTAGAGAGAGATTGGGAGAGTTTGGAGTTTGAATATGTTCAAGTGATCTTGACCGTCGATAGTGTGTTGTACGATTCTGATGGTTGATTCCGGTGTAGAGTAGTCCTGCCTAGTTTATTATTCCCCACCTTCCAAAATAGAATAATGCTTATACACTAATTAATATATTAATTAGTATATTAATTGATGATATGACATAAATTAATATATGACATAATTTAAGATATTTTTTGATATTTATAATTAGTATAATGAGTAAGCTTAATAATAATGTCATAATTAGTATTGATACGCTAGTTAGTATACTAATTAGTACATGTTATATCATTTTTTAAAATATTATTAGTGCTTTTGGAAATTTAACTTTTTTTAGCAATATAACATTTTAAAAATATTAATTTTTAAAATTATTATTAATATAATTACTACATTTTAAAAGTATTAACGTTGATAAAAAAAAATTTAAAAAAGATAAAAGAGAAATTTTATTATTTTAATAATTAATTTTTAAAAAGAGAATAATATTTTGTGACAATAAAAAATTAATAAACACTCATATTTTGAGAAGTATTTGGTGGTTCTCGAGCAAAATCTATAGTGCTTTAATTTACTTTTTATTGAAATAGTAGAGTCAATGGGACATCAAAGTTGGGGATCCCATAATTTCAAAATGACGTGGATTAATCATGTATTTTTGTTTTTTCATTTTCATTTTTAAACCAATCATAAGTAAGTGGAGTTGTGGAGGTTGTGTTTTTTTTCGGTGGTATTACATGCACCAATTAGTGTATTAAATAGTGTATAAACACTAGTTATGATATTATTATTGACCCCACTTATTAATTACATTACAAATATTAAAAACTTCTTAAATTATGTTACATCATCAATTGGTATACTAAATTGATGGATATAACATTATTCTTTTCTTCTTCTTTTTTGTCGGTATTGACTTTTATTAGTTATTCGTTTTTTGTGTGTGTTTGTAGAGTAATTTTTGAGATAAAAAGTACGAAAATTTGTTTGGTTTGTTTTTTTTTTAGAAATAGTTTTGGAAAATTGTTTTGATGAGAGAGTTTTAAAAAAAAGCAATTGATTTGATGTGTATGAGAGGGAGAAATTTACAATGTGCACCCTTTCAAATGATGTACATTGTAAAAAAGTTATGATTTTTTATGATGAACGTTATGATTGTTTGTGATGTGTGTTATGACATTTTGTAGTAAAGTTATAAATAGAAAATTTATGAGGTATACCCTAAAGTTAGAAATGATAATGTTATGACATTTTATGATTTTTGTTATGATACTTTAAGATTTTGTTATCACATTTTTCAGTGAAAAAAAGTTATGACTTTTATAGTGAAAAAATTATGACATTTTTGGTTTAAATTATGAAATTTTGTAAAAAGTTATGAAAAACATATCATATGCACCTTTTTGAGGGTGCACATTGTAACATTTCTCGTATGAGAGATAGAGTGATTTTGGAAAGTAGGTAACTAAACAAAATTTTGAGATTTTTTTTTTAAAATTTGTTTAGTTTGATAACTCTTAAAAATTTGTTTGTAGAGAATTTTTTCCAAAATTTCACAAAAATATGTACTCCTTCCGTCATAAAATAATAAGCCATTTTAGGAAATTTATTTATTTTTTATCGTATAATTATTACATTTTTTAAATTTTGATTTTTCAAAATTACTTTTGATAGTATATTTTTTTAAGAATATCAATGTCATAATTGTATTTTTTATGTTAATGAATTTAAAAGAATGGCAAAATAAGAAATTTATGTTGTTTTTGTGCTTGATTTTTGAAAATGGACTAATATTTTGAGACAATAAAAAGTAAAATAAGTAACTACTATTTTGGGACGGAATCAATAAAATATTTATTAAAATTGTAACGCCTTTTTATATTATTTGATTATTAATAGGGAAATGTTTGGGACCCATTTTGGAGATGACTCCCACACTCTCAAAGTAATTTTGGCCCTCGATGTATATGTGAGGGCCTACTCATATATGTGTAAGATTCACATCACGAGTGGTCCAAATTTAGGGGGGTCTTGTGGGAGTAAGGGTCTCAATCATTGTTCTTATTAATAAATGTTGAGCAAGAAAAATTATACAGTATAATAGTTTTGAAAATAATTTTAGAGTTTGTGATGAATTTTTTTTCTTGTAATTAAATAAATGGGTATGAGAGAAAAAATGATTATTGATGCGTAGGATGTAAGAGTATCTTTATCAACTTACTTATATTTTACTCTAAAATTTTATTAAAAAATTCATTTCCTATTTTAGAAATCACTTTTTCATTTACTTTTCTCAACAAACTCTCTACTTTTTCTCTATTATATTAAAATATAATTTTTAATTATAAATTAAAAAAATCATAAATGTGTACGATAGTCTCTAAACAAAGCAAGGCAAAACAAATATATCTATATATATATATATATAGGAGAGTTATGGTGACTCGCTACAGATAAAGAGTCACTGTAACAAATATTAATTTATGATGGCTTTATAAGAGAGATGATGGGATAGTATAAGGGAGTTTCAACCCCCTAAAATAGGTGGCAAAATTATTTAGGAGGTCGGCTGAGGATGTTATAAGTGTCACGATCCGCTCCCCATATCCAAGGGTTAAATATTGTGATGGGTCAGTAACTGAAGTTACCTCCGGCCAATTCTTAAACAAATTAATAAACATGAGCAGAAGTAATATTCAAGTGAGGGTACCAAAATAATCATTGGAGTTTGTATTTTTATTACAAAATTTATTGACCAAAAAAGTCGATATTTACATATAAACATATCCATAAAAGTGTTGTGTGTGTCTATTCCGCAATCTCGCATCTAAGACTTTCCAAAAGCTATTTCTGAATTGCACTGTTTCCTGAAAATTGGTAAACAGCTATAAGCACGTGGCAGAGTGAGAAATATTATGCCAATAGTATAAGGGACACAAAATAACCATGGATAGTTATGTAACTAAAATATTTAAGATAACTTAGTCTAAACAAATATTCATTTAAATAGCAAAACTGAGATTATGTAAATAAATAACCATAACCAGGGTACCGAACAGAACAGAACAGGGGTCACAGGAGTGACAGTCAGAACAGAGATACGGATTCAAGAGGTGACTCGTACGGATTATAGAAGTGGCTCCCACAATAATGTAACACTTATCTCCGCAAAGAACAGAGGTCACTAGATTCATGACAATAGAGGGTCACAAAGTGACTAAACAGAAATCAATAGTTATTTAAGTCTCCCAAAGCGTGGGACTCCCGTGGTGGCACTTACAAAACATAGTTATTTATAAAGTTATAGTCAAATATTCTTTAAAATATAAACAAACATATCCATGAGTTTTATTTTAACAAATAGGGTTCAGAAAATAATCCACGTAATTGGAATATTAATATAATTTATAATACTTTATAAAACATAACTTATATAAAATAAATATGATAAATCAAAATATATATAAAATATATTATAATAATACAAATTATAATATAACTCACCTTAACTTTAACACCTCACTCTTACTTTCCATTGTTAAAGTTCTCTGCACTTCCATTATTTTCTTTCTCTTTTCTTCGCTTCATTTTCCCTCATTCCTTTCATTCCCTTTTTCTTTCACCCCAACAAATTCTCTCTTTTATAGAGAGATAGCCGTGGCCCAAGCCACCAAGTTGCCACGTGTTGCATTTCCATCGATACGAAATTAGTTCAAGCTTATCTTTAACCTATTCAATGGATAAGCTTAACTTAGTTTAATTATATTGTGACCCTTAAATTTTTAATAATTATATTATTTTACAAAATTATAAATAATAATAAAAAATAAATTGTATATTTTCTTAATTGTGATTAAATAATATTAATATAAATTTTACAGAATAATTAAAAATCTGAATTGTTACAATAAGAGAAAGAGAAATAAAAGAAAAAAGGTGATTGATTGATATATAGTGGAGATAAAAATGATTTTGAAAAAAAAAATCAAAAATTTTCAACCAAATAAATTTTTTAAATTTTTTCTAAAAATTTGTCTCTTAAGAGACAAACCAAACAATGCCATGTCTTCTAGAATATAGATACAAAAATATTAATCATACTATATTAACCAATAACAAGTGAATTAGGGTATAGTCCGAATTTCTAATATCATTGAATAATTTATTGTTTTTATATTTTACGTAAATATGTATTTTTTTAATATTTAGACATGATTATAAAAAATAGGGAGCTTTTTTGATAAATCTTTTTTCTAAAAGCTTTATTCCATCCAACCCATATTCTTTTTTTACTATTCCATTAGGTCCTATTTGAGGTAAGAAGACCAAAATACTCTTTTCATCTACTTATGTTCTATTTAGTCCATATTATTTTCTTATGTTTCAATAAGTCCTATGGGTGACATAATTACCAAAATACCCCTAATGTGAATGTGAATGTTCACATCGTCAATGTGAATGTTCACACCGTCAATGTGAATGTTCCTATTTGAGGTAAGAAGACCAAAATACCCTTTTCATCTACTTATATTCCACTTAGTCCACATTATTTTCTTATATTTCAATAAATCCAATGGGTGACATAATTACCAAAATACCTCTAATGTGAATATTCACATCGTCAATGTGAATGTTCACACTGTCAGTGTAAATGTTCACACCGTCAATGTGAATGTTCCTATTTGAGATAAGAATACCAAAATACCCTTTTCATCTACTTATGTTTCATTTCGTCTACATTATTTTCTTATGTTTCAATAAGTCCTATGGGTGACATAATTACCAAAATACTCCTAATGTGAATGTTCACATCCTATAGGTGACATAATTATCAAAATACCCCTAATGTGAATGTTCACATCGTCAATGTAAATGTTCACACTGTCAATGTTCACACCGTCAATGTGAATGTTCATATCATCAATGAGTAAGGGCTCGGCCCAGCTCGGGCCGGGGCCAACCCATATAAAGCCTCGTGGGTGCTTGCTAAAATTTGGGCCGGGCCGGCCCACAGGCCAAAAAATTAGGCCTAGGCCCTAGCCCTAGCACAAAGGTATTCAGGCTTTGAGTGCCCCGGTGGGTCGAGCCAAAG